GTGACCGTTGATTCGCGCTTCGCTGAGTACCATCTTACCAGCCATAACCCGCCAACAGAGGTTTCGCCGGACTTCATTGCAGTGCTCTTGGCGTCTGCATTTTGTCGCTGCATTCCTGTAAGCGGTGAACAAATGGGGGTAGCTCGTCTGCTTACCGCAGTAGAGGGAGCGGTAAACGATGCACCAGTTCGTGAGCAACGAACTATTTGCTCCTTTGTCGATGCCTTTGAACTAGTACGGAGGTTTATCGCCAGAGATGACAACATAAACTGAGCAAGTGACGGTTGTAGGAAATCACTTGTGGATTAACAACCAGTGCCGCAGGTCAAAAGACGACTGCGTAGGGCTTTGTATACCGGCGCCAGATCGATATATCTGCCCAACTGAGTTCTCATCAGAGGCCCAGGTTTTGATCAGTTTTCGGCCTGTCTTGCTTCTTGGCGTGACGGCTGCGAAGTTGAACTCGTAACCTCCTTGAAATTGTGTTTACTCTGATGTTACAGGGCCTGAATAATCAGTTATCGTTTACAATAACGAATCAGTTACCTAATGTCATCGCGAAAAACTGCAGCGAGTCGCAATCGAAACTAATCCCCAATGGTTCTGTATGCTTCCCTCAGATGTTTGGAAGATCACTGGCTAGCGGTTAGCCTAGTTGGTGTACAGGCGTGAGGTTTAACCCCTTTCGATTGGCCGAAGTTCAGATCACTCCCAGCTCCACTTCTACTTCTTTAAGTTTACGAGATCACATCTCCTCCGTTTTGCGCTTGCTACGACTAGAACCGCAGCATCCGGTAGTCCCCGTCACATATCATTGGAGTTTGGCTGGCATCAAAACCGGTTTGCCGGAAAGGCTTACTTTCGTCTTGCCTGTGAGAACCTTCAAAGAGCGATTTCGGTTTCCCATCATCAGCGGCCGGTAGATCTGAAGCAGCAGCAGCAGCAGCGTGCCAGTGAGGGATTCTGTGACAGTTGTGGGACAAGGATTTAATGATGTGCTGTCTACGTCTGCAGAGGGCCATCCAGCGACTCTTTGATTTGGCCCACTGCTGCGCATCAACCTCATCATTACTGCCAGACGTGACTCATCGTCCGCCTCCCCCAGCCCCTGCTAAACACGTTCGCACCCAGTGGGCGCAGGCGAGTTCACCTTTTCCGCGCCTGTAGGGGGTTTTAATAACCGGACGAAAAGGAGCCCGCCGAGCTAGCCGGGTCAGTGCTGGCGACTGCTGGCATTGGAATAATGACCGTTATTGACTGTGCAACTGTAGGCGCTGCGCGCCTACAGTTGCAACAGGCGCTCAGTGCTGGAAAGTCATTTCGCAATCGGAAGGGCAATCTTCCCCTGACAGGTTTGTTATACTTGTAGGACGCTGTGTTATTGAAGATTAACGGCAAAATTATTGCCCTCGGCTTCCTCCATGATCGCAGCAACCCCCCCTCCCTCCTGCATGCCTGAACGGGCGCTGGAAGTCGGTTAGAGCCACATTTTCGCCAGCTGGTCAATTTCCGTGTTTGTTGACGGCCTGGAAGATGTGAGTGCTCTTCGGGCTGCATGCTGAATGAGGCAACATCTGGCGTTGGCCAGGGCAGTGCAATCGATGGCCGAAATCATGTTTTGCGTATGCCTAACTTTCATGAGAAATGGGGAATCTAGTCAGTTTTAGTCAATGTTTAGATCCTGAAACAAATATCGTTGCCGCACAATGCCCCAAAAGCCGATAGATGCGAGGTCACCAGTTCCAGATAGCCGTCGGGAACGGGGAGGCGCAATGGCTGGCGCATGAGTTTTTTGCCTGACGTTTCGATTTCACACTGGAATCCGCTATCAGAGACAGAATCAGATCATGGTAGTGTTTTTCACATATGTCACAGCGACTGGAGGACGTGGTTGCTATGCCACTGCATACCTATCAAAATTGGCGGTTCCCTCGACCATCGCAGATGGTTGCGCTTGATGCTATAATGTTTTCATTTTCAGCAGCCTCTCTTAGGTCCTCGGGCCATTTGACTCGCCGACACTGGCACTAGGAACAGTGCTCGTTTGCGCCCTCTCGTCGTGGTTAATTACTCTGCCCAAGCTAAATTTCAGCGCAGAATAGGGAGACGAGAAGGATAATTGGGCTCGTTAATCGACTGGAGACGGGAAAGCAATGACTCAAGCAGTTCGCGGCCCACGCCATTTGCCACCTCTCGTGGGCATTTTGGCCCGTCAGGATTTAGCATGTGCCAAGGTCCTGTTGAATGAGTCATGACTTGGAAGCTGGCGTCGTTCTTCCTCGTTGTTGTCGCGTGTTCGGACATCCGTGTCTAATGTAGTCTTCTTGGACAAAGTTGCTTCGCCCGCACCGGATGCGGTAAACGGCCCCAGACGTTTCCTACAATCGTAATGGGTCTTTCGGTCTCATGACTTGGCGCCTTATGGCTGCCTTCGGTCTGAGTGCAAACGTAAATTCCAATTTCCAACTCCCGCAGTCACATTCAACAGCATAGACATAAATAGTTAAGAGTTGTAGATGTACAAAGCTGCACGACGCGTAGTATGCAGTTCCCACGCCATCACATGCCAAACATAACTAGCAGCCCTGGGATTTATCGAAGATATTCGCACTAAGCGCCATAACAACTTGATCATTCTCATCCATATCACTGACCGCCACAATTTCACCATTAGTGTTGATTATTGGCATGATGATGACTCGACAAGTGGACCCTCCATCACATAATCACCGAAAGCATCATTCGCTCCCGTTCTCTACGCCGTCTCATCACTGAATATCGAGAAGAGAGGTCATTGCGCTTGGTTGATGAATTGCCATTACTGCACCAAGTCCGGTCATCTACGATGAATTTGAGCGCAAATTAATTTTCTTCTAGGCATATGATTGCGCAACAAATGCGACTTACCAATCCTACATAGCCTATTTACAAGTACTTTTACCTGGTGCTTTATCTGACTTTGCCTCCGAGTGTGGTGGCGACCCTGTCTCGCCGATCGCGTCTTCTTCTTCTTCTTCTTCTTCTTCTTCTTCCTCCTCCTCCTCCTCCTCCTCCTCCTCCTCCTCCCTCCCTCCTCCCTCCTCCTCCC